CACCATTGTTCTACGGAACCAGGACCTTAGTTGTAGCAAATAAAGTGTCATATTAGTTGGTTACAGTAGCACCATTGTTCTACGGAACCAGGACTTTAGTTGTAGCAAATAAAGTGTCATATTAGTTGGTTACAGTAGCACCATTGTTCTACGGAACCAGGACTTTAGTTGTAGCAAATAAAGTGTCATATTAGTTGGTTAAAGTAGCACCATTGTTCTACGGAACCAGGACCTTAGTTGTAGCAAATAAAGTGTCATGTTAGTTGGTTAAAGTAACAGTATTGTTCTACGGAACCAGGACTTTAGTTGTAGCAAATAAAGTGTCATATTAGGTTGGTTACAGTAGCGCCATTGTTCTACGGAACCAGGACCTTAGTTGTAGCAAATAAAGTGTCATATTAGTTGGTTAAAGTAACACTGTTGTTCCGTTGAAAGAGAATAGGTGTATGAAGTCGACTTACTTGTTTATAGTTGCAACATCGAAACCTTTATCAATGTAATCTTTCCCAGCAGGCACTGCGACAGACAAGATTAGCTTATCTTTTCCAGCAGGTGTTCTTTCAGCATCAAAGGCTTCACGAGTTTCCTGTAATTAAAATTCAAATGTATAACGATAAGTCTTTTGTTATTTTGTTCTGGAATTGCAGAAAAACGGCTTATCAAAACAAACAAACCAAAAAAAAAACCCCCATGAAACTGGACAAAGAAAGATAACTTCATAGAACAGAATTTCGTTGTTTAAAACTCTGACGTTTAACATATGAGCCTAGAAAAATTGCAATAGAGAATCTATCATTTTATTTTCACATACAAAAAAAATGATATTTCGTCTTGAATTAGAAGTTGAAATTAAGCTTCTCAGTCTAAATGAAGATTGAATAGACAATTACGGTTAAGAGAAACAGCCATACAATACTCAGTACTCTCCAAAAGTAAACAGAAAGTGAAAACAACTTTTAGGAGCGTGAAGAAACGTACTTTAGAAAGGTATACGTCCACAGATTTTCTGTACACCTGTTACTTTAAGTAGATATGAGGGGAGCATTTTTATTAAAATCACCCCATCACGCTTTGGTTCTTAGTTTGTAAACTTACTAAATACACCAATGATGCTTTAATAAAGGGTGATGACCGTAAATGGTATGGCTTTAGCTTTTGAAACACCATATTAAGTCATTAATAAAACCTATTACTCCACAGTGAGTCTTAAATATTTCTATCCTGGTCCGGCACGGCCAGGTGGTTAGGGCCCTCGACTCGCAATCTGCGGGTTCGAATCCCCGTCACACCAACCATGTTCGCCCTTTCAGCCGTGGGGGCGTTATAATGTTTCGGTCAATCCCTCGTGTAGCTTGGCGCGAAATTCATAACAAACAAACATTTTTATCCTATGATGTTTTGTTTCAAAATTATTAACACGACTTTGATCTTTAAGATTGAAAAGAATGGAACTCGATAACATTAAACATGTATACATATGCGTAGGTTAAATATTGGTATTGATTTTCGAAAGTTATAATAAAGATCGTTAGCATGTGCTGTGATACTGACCCCTGGCGTCTCTCACCGTTTCATCTGCAGATGGTAACGACTTTATTACTTAATCCTAAGTCAATATTTGTTTTACCAAACGTGAACTTTGTACAGGAATATTTTTTAAGACTATAAATGTGAGAAACTGAATGCATCGCTTCTATGTTTTACTCATGGATACTTAAAAAACCAACAACCGAGAAACATTCTAGACCTATTAAAACTAAGACTATAACTAAGGCCTTTCAGAAGTTTAGGGTATACCTAAGACTTTCCGACATTATTAGATATATTTATGGTCTTTCGGCACTGTAGGATATAGCTAAGGCCTTTCATAAACTATGGGTCTACTTAATATCTTTCGGCACAATGGTATGTGACAAGACCTTCCAGCACTATAGGGTATAGCTAAGGGGTAGCAGTGCTATGGGTACAACATAAAATATATTAACTAAGGTTACTGACTGCTGTATATTCATTTAATTATGGGCCATACGGTAATGTCAATATTATTCCATTATTTTCTCTGTGATCGAAAGAGAACCTTTG